CTCCGACAGAAAAAACATTGAAGGCAGGATAATAATCTGAATGAACTGACGGCACTGATTACGTTTTCAGGTGTATTTTCTCATTTAGACACATATTAAAACTACTTTATTCCCACTGATCACAGCAAATATAGCTGCAAGGCAGAGAAAGGATAGTGATGCTCCGCCCAACGCGCGTCAGACACACTTTTGCACCGCGCAGCCAGAGTAGCAAAGCTGCTTCAGCCGCGCGTCAGAACTAACTGGTACAAGCAGCAAAAAGGAAGCAGCAGACGCGATTTTGCTGCTTTTGCTGCGTGAACGTAGCATAACTGCACAAAGATCGCCACTGTGCTAGCAACGAGAATGCTTTTAACTGGGGGGTGTAGCAGTTCTCGCCGTAAAGCAAGACTGACTCTCGCGAGACTTCTGAGCCTGTGGGTGCAGGTCGGTGCTCCTGCAATTGCAAGTGCAGTATTTCCCCCACAGACCACCAGGGCGGCCGAGAATACCTTTCTTCAACCTGAAATGACTCATTTAATCATCCAAAACGTTATGGAACACATTAATTAACTGAAAAATGTTGCATAGTGTGCCTTTAATGGATTATAGTCATAGCAAACTGTAGTTCACAACTAAACCAAATAACAGGCAGGGCTCACCACACAGAGCTATAAATTCCCTCCATAGGGTGTTGGTCTTTTAGGTCTTTAAGCCACTGTCTCACAGACAACTTCTCCTTACGTCCTCTTCTTCGTTCAAGCTGAACAGCTTACAGTCACTTCTTTCTTCTGAGGTTGCTATTGTTTGATGCAATGATGTCAAAGTAAGTTGTACTACATCCCTATTTGATAGCTTCCCATCCTGCTCTTTGATGTACCATGCTTCCTATTTATTTCCACTTTCTCATTACAAGTCTGGATTTCAAGCATTAAAATAAACATCATATAAAAAGTTTGAGCACAGTAAAGGAGAAAATTAGAATGAATTATGACAAAAACTGTTTAATTTGGCCCTGCTGTTTCACATGTTGTGCTAACCTTTTTGTTTTGTGTTCTTACATTTTGGAGCCATAAGAATAATATCATTTCAACAAAAATAATTTCAAAGAAAAAACAAATGATCCCTTTAAAACAAAATTTTGCTCACATAACAGACAATTGCAAGCCTCAAAGACTCTTTCATTGATAAAGCAATATGTGAAGCACATGAAAGCTTTTAAACTGCATGCGTCATGTAGGCCATTTTCGCTTATTATTGCACTTATTGTTTGGCTTATATGAAGAACAAAACACATCCTCTGCTTGTGCTTCCAAATAGGTACTCCACAGGATTGTGACATAATGAGCTGATGAGTGAAACAGGATATGATGGAGTGCTTTCAGATGGAAGGTCTGTGCGTCTGCACGGTTCTGCAACAATTTTGTGTGGTTAGTGATGTTGGTTAAAACAGTCTTGATGCTTTATTGGGTAATTTTGGGTTTGCAGTATCTGATGTGTCATTCTAAATGTATACATGTTCTACTGGATTTGAAATGCCCAACAAGGCTCTAAAGGTTTCAGAGAGACTTTAGAATATGACAAAAGATAAAACAATAAGAATGAGAAGGAGCTTTGAAGAGAGGACTTACGAAGCAGGAAGTGAAAGGGGTTACTGTGGTTCATGGCTGGCGCCTTAATACCCAGACCACTAGTCCACCCCAAGGGAACTGCAAATCTAACTTATATTATTTGCAATCTGTGTCGACTGGTATGAATCTATAACAGTAACACAAGACAGCTCTGCTTGTCCCCTTTGCATAAAGATTCACTGAGCCGGCTGTCAGCACAGAACAAGCGGAGGCAGACGGGGGATTATAGAAGGGCAGGCTTTTTTTTCATCATTAAAAATAATGTGCTGCCAGTCTTAAGCTGTGGTTTATATGGGTGGATGCTGTCCAAAACATAACCACAAGGAGGGTAGCAATGCCCATGATGGGAGCTCTGATTGCACAGAATATTATTATTGTCTGTTAACGCCCTTATAACATTTTTAAGTTGTTTTCAGAATCTGCCACCAAGAGAATAAGGCCTGTAACCCATCTACCTCCCCACCACCCTCTAGTTAAAAAAAAAAAAGATTTCTGATCCATCACTTCTCTGCACTTTTTTAAATACATGCCTCCGGGGAAAAAAACGGGAAAAACTATGGGAATTTCCCCTCCTCAATAGAGTAGGAGCAGCTGATAGTAGGTTGGAAGTGAGTCAGGCTCAGCAGTGCCTCAGCTGCCACATTTCTGGGCACAAACTTGTTGAGGCAGGCAGATGTTCCTCCTTTGGATGAATGTTTGCTGCCCCTCAGGTTCTACACTGCCAGATGTGCGGTCACTGAGGTTTGAGCTTGCGCAGTCATAGGTAAAAGCAACGCTTCTTACCAGTACACACACTGCTTATTTGTTCACACTCTTGTCAGTTTCCAGTAATCAAGCAAAACAAAACTGGACTGTGGGATTACTGCTCCAGTTACGCATCTGCTGATGACTGGATCACTATCAATGCAAAAGGCAGGTGCTGACCTCACCCACTTTTAAAATGCATCAGGAGCAAAAACAACATTGCATTTTCCGAAACATGGAACGCTGAGATTGACTTTGGTGATAGAAATAATACATGACACAGTAAGGATCATCTGATGTGGGTAATGGGATACATTCTCCACCATGGCTGAAAGCTTCAGACACCAATTTAAGAAAAATAATAAAGAAAGATGTTTACAATAAAAACCCATGTTTTTTTTTTTTTGTCACATCTACTAAAGAACACTGTAAATGCTTATGAATTCCTTTATTTCGGTTCTTTGCTGAGGAGGTAGAGGTTTGTGCTGAGACCTGTGGGTTGCTGGTTTGAATCCCAACTCCATTCATCTCATTAGCTGCGTCCTTAGGCAAGACAATGGATCTGCCTCACCTTGCCTGTCACCAACAAAACTGATGCTCTTGCTTTTTTTAGTTTTACAAGATGAGAGAACAGGAGGATGTAAACATCTCACTGCCCAGCGCTGTCATCTCATCGTACACATTATTGTGCAACCAGGTCAGTTTTGCTTGATCCGAATGACATAGAACAAAGGTTTTAAAAGACGATAATTGGATTATGTTTCAGCATAAGCCACTCCTCTCAAACGGAACATGATTTCATTTCACAATTTTAAAACAGTTTTGTGATTGTGTTTACACGACTTACTTTGATTCAGATCAACACTTCATTCTAATTACTCATTTTGAGGTAAACATAGCTACTGACATGAATTCCCTCCTGCTGGATCAGCAGCAATAGTGGACCCTGTCTTTTGAGCCATTAACTTTGAGGTTATCCCTCAAACTGAGTATGCATGTAAAGACAAGAGATGAAAAACTCCCCTTTAGCAAAAAGAGAACCAGTTTCAATGTCGTCTTTCAGCAATGATGGACTGTGAATTTAAGCAGGTAGATACACACAAAAAGAACTCAGAAACAGTGCTTTCTATTTATGAAAAAAGGAAAAGATTAATGGCAGTAGTTGCTCCTTTAGTTGCTTCATCTAGGAGAGAAATAAACACATAAAAGAAAAGAGAGCACATAAAGTCAGTCACAATAAAAGCTCAGCCGGTAGCTCTGTCTAGGAGAGAGACAGTTAACCACTGAAAGGCAGGACAAAGTATGTAATTTATAGGAGTACATGACATTCTTGACAGGGGTAGCTCAGTCGATGCCCGCCCTCTAAGACTGTATCCCAGTTGAACAGGATGCCAGGCCAGCTGTAGCTACACTGTTGAGAAAAAACAGAGCAAACATAAAATTATACATATAGAAAAAAATAAAAATGAATGCAAAATTAGAAACTGGTAGGAAAATATAGGTAAGCCACTCTAACTATTAGCTTTATAAAAAAGAAAGCCTTTAAAAGTAGAGTGGATGCCTGCCTCTTTGACTTTAAACTGGCCTTTGGTTCTTTAAGAGATGGGCTGAAAACTAAAAGGCTTGCCTCCCACTCCTTTCACAAACTCAAGGAATTATCTGCAAACCATCAATTTGGGCGCAAGGTGGTCTCTGTTAGAAAAAACAGTTAGATCTTTGAAGTATAATAGAGCTTTAATCTGAGAGGGGGGCTTTTAAATTGTATTATAGACTTAACCGGAAAGTGTCACACAGTAGTGCAGCACTAGTGATAAATTTTATGTAACCCTTATTTTATCCATAAATCCATTGGACTATTATTTCTAATAATCTTTTTATGTTGGCCCTGAATATCCCCGTATGAATATGCTCTCTTTCAGCTGTCATTATGTGCAATTATTTCTTTAAACTTTATTTTTTGTAGCTTGATTATTCTTTTCTCTTCTGGAGTTAATTAGTTTCTGAATAAGAGCCAGGCTGCTCTTCAGAGCTGCCATCAAGCGAGTTTTAATAAAAGATTCTGCTCTGGAAAGGAGCCAGCTAAATAATGACTTTAGGAGAAATGAAAGACTTTACCTCTAATATTTTTACCAGCAGGTGGCACTCTGGTACTAGAACCAGAACAGGGCCAATGTGGCTTAAAAAATAGAGCTTTGGTCGTGGGAATTAATGGCAGAGCAGATAATGCAGCAGTGAGCTTTAAAAGTCATGCATTGCCTCTGGAAAAGCTCTGATTTACACACAAAAATAAACATGTAGCTAAAACAATCCTCACAGTTCAGTCTGAGCTGTGAAAATATAATTTTGAATAAAATATGTTGCTGCCATGTTAATTTTCCTTTCACATCACACATTAATACTAATCCACTTTATGCACAACTGTTCTTATGTATTAAATTATAAAGAGCAAATCTAAGCCATTAAAGAAACATATCAATGCATTTTCTTACTTTATTTTAATAATTGATTGTGACCATACATGAATTTGTACATTTACATGACCTTTTTTATTGAAGGGTCTCAACATAGAATCAAATCTTGTTGCAAAATGATAAACTGAAGGGAAACCATTAAGGCTTTTTAATGTGCAATTTTTAATGACTTCATTCGGTTCTCTTTGCATTGTTCCAGATGTTATTCTAAATCATGTTAGACATAATTTCTGTTTACCTCGCTGGCTAATACTGAGTGTACATATTCCATCTGCTGCAAATTTAGATGGTCTGATTGTTTTTTCTATGCATATAATTTTCTCTGCATATCATTGTTGATGCAAGCGCCATAATTATCTGTGATGCCAACCTGGGGTTCATTCCCTCTGATTTGTTTTATATATATACTACAGCAGAGCTTGACACAGATGCAGAATCAGCGTGCTTGTTTTTCTTTTATGACGGATCGCTTCTGTTAGAAGTCAAACATGCAGAGCTAATGCTCACAATTAACAGTGGATTCTGCACTTTACATTGTAGCACCACCGAGGTGTGAAAGGTTTCCTGGTCTCAGCTGTATTGTTTAACAGCTTTTCCTTACAACAGATGTTGCAGTAGCAAAAAGCATTCTTACAAGAGCAATTATTCCTGTTGTGGAGCACAAACTGAAACACAGAAGCATACAATTTCTTTTTAGTACCTGCCAAAGCAATGCAAAGGAGCATTGCCATGGCATTCCATGTTCCTTCTCATTGCATGGAGAAACCTATTATCATTCTGTGAATTAAAAGGACTCTTTATACCTTTATTTTACCTTTATATTTATATTTACCTTTATATTTATGTTTATTCTTGTTATATCAATGTTAATTTTGCTCAACTAAAACCACTTTCTTGAAATTAGACTATTACGGCCTTTTCACAACACATCCCACTGCAAATTTCAAAATGTATGTACTCGAACAAACAAAAGCCTTAACATTATACACAGCAAGTCATAGAGGCATATGGCTAAGCATTAAAACCCAAACTCAATCACTTTAGCAAATTAGACGAGCACGGCCTTTTCGGAAAAGCCTTTTCTGACAGGCACCACCACGAGGTATGGCAGCGCTAGTTGGTACCAAGTATGGAGACATAAGTTGCCATAAGGCTTCACACTCCTCATATGAGTTGAATCTAACTATTTCCATGAAGCCTTTGCTGCCAGTATAACAACTACGCACCAAGTGGCAGGCAGCTTCAAAATTTCCTTGGGGAACTTTGTAGTTCACTCATTATTCCTGCCTGATGAAAGCCAACAGTAGATCAAACTGCTTCCCCATGTTTACCTTAAGAAATTTTATTAGGTGGCATAGATATTATGCCATGCATTTCTTCCTTAGCCTGCAGCATTGCTCGAGCTGCAGGATGTCTTTGGAAGGTTGATAACTGTGCAAGATGATCAGCATAAAACATGACAGAAATAAACAGACCAGAGGCATTTATTGATCAGTACATGTGCAGTCCACCAAAGGGAAGGGTCAGGAGTATAAGGGGCACTTGTGCTGTTATTAGTAACATTCATCAGACACATAATTAACTAGTCTAATTTTCCAAACAGTGAATATGGTCAGTTAAACCTTCATGCTGGTCCTTAAGGAGGTAGGATTCTCAGCCCAGCCATTTTTTATCAAGGTTATGAGACCATGATATGTGTCTAATAACTCTTTATAATTTTTTTTATAATATATTCTTTTGATAACATTTTGTTTTGCAACTGTAAATCTGATTAGTTGTAGAACCTGTAGCTAATACCCACCTAAACCCACAGACAGTTTGTGGCTTAAGGGAAAGGTCATAGTCGTCCAGCTGGAAAACACAACTCTAGTATTTTCATTTCAGAAATACTCTTCAACATATTGATATTTGATCCCACTCTCTACGCTCAGCGTAAGAATGGCCTTATATTGAAATGTTGTAGCTATACTCTTTAACATCATTTTCAAACCATTATCAAACTTGGCCATTGATTTCTAAAAGGTTTTGGTTCAATATTGTGTTGCGTAAAACAGGACCACATATTCTGCTGTGGGAATTCTTGGGAATGTTATATCCTAGTGTAGAGAGTAAAGCTATCATGTTGGCAACTTGTTAGGAGGAAACTTGCCAGAGACACAGCATTGCATGGGAAGTGTTTACTGAGATTACATGAGTTATGAGAAATTTCATGTCTCAACCTATCAAAGAATTTAGGTTTTTTCATGATGGGAACAAAAAATGTTTCTCTTAACAAGCACGAGCTGCATTACTGTGCTGTGTTAGAAAAGGACCCTGAAAGCCCTCTGCTGCAGCAATCTGCAAGGCAATGAGGAATATCAAAGGCTTAGAGCTGGTGATTGTGGTCAAACAATTGTATCTCAAGTGATGAATCATAATGAGGAAACAGTAGAAAAGAAACATTACTTTCTACGGGAAATAACTAAATAGATATACAATTTGAGTGGCTGAGTTCAAACAAACCACATTTTCTCTCATAGAAAATAAAACTTTACTTGTATTGTCAGTTATTGTAAAGATTTTTTGCTTTTACAAGATCACCAGTGGTACAGTTGTTGATGTTGCTTTTAAATGATAAAAACAAACAAAAAATGTTTATCTTAAATTTTATAAGTTATACTTTACTTTTTCAGAATTGTTAAAAGTTTCTTGGAATTTAAATCAGTGAGACTTTTTTGTCTGGTAAACAATGTGTCAGAAAATTCTTACTGTTGGTTTGGTGTTAAACAAAAAATAGATACTAAAAAACCAAAACAAAAAAACACATGTCCGCTGCTAAGCATAGTAGGGGGTCTGTGTTGCTGTGGGACAGCTTCTTTTCAGAAATTCCTAGGACCATTTTCAATTTTATGTCATCGTGTTTTCTACCAGAAAATGTACGATATAAATCTGGTTTATTCTCTGTCTTTGATTGTTCAACACTTTGATAGCAACCTGCTATTTTTTAATTGTGCTTTTGTTATATATTAGCTGACTTTGCTGAATAAGCATATCTTCCTGCTTTTTACACATCTTTATCAAGAATGGAAGGACTGCATGTTTCTAAGTTAGTTTGCAAACAACCACTCATTTATATAAATTTTTAAGCAGTTTGTGCATTTTGTACAAAAAGAACAACATGGGTGCATATGTAACTCCAGTTGTTTTATAGAATGTAGAACTTCACACAGTGCAATTTCCTTTGGACATTTCAAACATTTAAATTTCTCATGTTTTATTGGATTTTTATTTTTTGTATTTCAATGTCTTTCTGTTCTACTAAAGAAACAAATTTAAAGAAATAACACTTTTACTACCCAAACCCATTGCTGAAATGACTCATAACGCTGCATATCCTGTGAGCGCACAAAAAATAATCAGAAATGCTCCATTTGCGTGGATGTGTCTAGCAACAGTAATTTGTGGCTTGCCAGGGTTGCTATTTACAATAATTTACTCTGCAAATGAATAGAACACAGACTGGTCTACCTGACCTTTCGTTCAAATCATATTTCCTGCTGCTAATCATCTTGAGTTCACAACCGCAGGTTCTAAAAAGACAAGCTCGACTGTGTTATCAATACTCATTTATAGGACTCCTCTGAAGTTTCCTTTTCATTTTTTATAGGTATCAAAATGTTCTTCATATCATCTACTAAAATGCTGACCTTCAAGGAATTGCTTTGGCGAGGTTCTATTGAAAGGTTACAAGACAGAGCGACCAGGACCATCATATGTATTTAGGAAATTAATCGTCACAATAGTTTACTACTACTGTGTGAAAAACATGCCAAGAATGAAACAAGGTGATTCTAGTTCCCCATGCCTGCCAAAATGATCTAGTAAATGGGGAAAGGTTTAATCTTTCTTTCATAAACAATACTGCACATTTTAGGGTAATTCACACCTTAAATCATGTCATCATATAAATATAGGCATCTAAATCTAAACAAATAAAATCTTTAACTAAAAAAAATGTATTTATTTATTTATTCATTTATTTATATATATATATTTTTTACCTTTGATATCTCTTGAAACTCAGAATCTATTCCAGCAAATATAATTATGCTTTTCAAACATGTTACAATCATTTTAAATGAAAATATTGATTTTAATAGGTTCTTTTTCTAAACTGGTAACTCCTCAGATCTTTTGTTCCAAGTACATTCATTTTGAGAAGGAGAAATCATTTGTGGCAGACCACATACAAATGTTTCAATGGCGTAGTTTAAAAAAAAATAATTCTCATAAACACTAAGATTTTTTAGACTAATGTCGTAAGAGATGAGACCATTTGACCATCTTGAAGTAGATGACAGCTCTTAGCTGCTCTGTATTCAGAATGAGGCTGTCAACAGCATTAACAACTGCCAGATGTTAACCACATAACTTCATTTCAAAAACCCAGATTTATCTAAAAAATGCGAGACTGTTAATCAGTTATGGCCAGAATGCTTCACAAAAGACAAAAACAGCATTACTTTCTCTTATAGTGTGTTTAAGAGGAATTTGACATTTTTTTAATTATCAGTCTTAAAATGCTTCAGTTTGGCAATATGCAAAAATAACGAGCTTACAGAATAGTGAAACCTCACAATCTTCAGGCTGACATTTCAGTATTGAATCAGTATTCTTTAAATGTTTGAATAAGGCCAAGAAAGCCACAGTCGGTGATAGTAAACTGTTGCCAATGATGAAAAGAAAACTTACAGGATACTGACTGTCCGCTGCTACAAATGTCCTACATGTATTACTTTTATTTTGTAATTTTAAAACCTCCGTGTGCTCGTTTTTTTTATCACCATTCACTCCTTCTGCAGTGGAAATCTGCAGTTCGATCACCTGAGGCCAAAGCTGGAGCTGAGAGACACTAACTGCATACAACACCCCTTATTTCTTAACCTCAGGAGTCTGCTCCTTGCACACGCTGCTGTACAGTTTAGACCCTGAAGATTAGTCGAGTATTCACAGCTGAATGTTGTCTCATATTTACATGATTACAATCTCTTTTTCTTTTTTTTTGCAGGAGTCAGTGAAAATATACAGTCTTAAATAGTAATATTACCCTTCTCTATTTAATGTATAAATGTTCAGGCAAGTTATAAGATAGAGACTTTGATAGTGATAAACCACAATAACTTATATTGCACACAAACGTTTCATCATAAAGAATAAGACAATTGAAGTGCCATGAACTCATTATCTTACTAAGAAAAGCACATAGTCAAATACTTATATTACTGCAGGCTTCCTGCAATATTTTTCTGCATGCTCTTCCCAAGAAATTCTTCCAGAGACCCATGTTGCTAATCGCAAGAGCTTTGTAGTCTTGTGCTTTAATCCATCAGTCTCATTAAATTACATTCAAATAAGAAGGGAGCCTACTTGTCCATCCAGTTTTCTCATTTGTTTTCTCATTTGTTTAGGATGCGTTCTGCTCCGTGAAATGGGAAAAATTGTATGTTTGCTGAGGTGTTTTAATCTTCTGCTCCTCCTGGAGTGTCTGTGGAGGCTGCTGCTGCAGTTCAAGTGGAGGATAAGATTTAAAGTCCCCTATATGAGTGGGTTGCTGTGGAGAGGACGACGGCGGTCCCATATTAGTCATGTCTTTTCTGTCACTTTGCTGGAAGTCCAGCATCTGCGTCTTCTTGCAGCAGAAGTACTGCTGCAAAATTTTATGAAATGCGGTGCGAAACTTTTTGATCCGAAAAGCATAGACGATTGGATTTACAGCGGAGTTGCCATGGGTGAGCAGGATGGAGATGTAGAGCAGAACCTGCGGAGCAGCGCTTTTGCAGAAGAGTGTGATGCAGTTGATTATATGAAGAGGCAGCCAGCTAATGGCAAACAGGACAAGCACCAAAACCAAAGATTTGGCAAGATTCAACTCTTTGTCGTAGTACTTGTTTGGGTCTGAGTAGCTGGAGGTGATTTTCTTGTTGTTAAGCTGCTTGTGGATCATGTAAAAGATCTCAATATATATGACCAGCATCAGCAGCAGTGGCGGCAGCACCCAGCCGAAAAAGTTGAAGTAAACCATGTAGTCCATACCAATGACTTCTTCAAACTTGCAGGTGACAATAGGGTTCGAGCTGTTTGAGCCATTCTGCTGCTGATGCTCCTTTAGCTTGTTCCAGCCTAACATGGGTGTTAGTCCCACAATAAATGCCACAGTCCAGCATACCACCACAGCCAGGGCAGCACGCTGAGAGGTCACCACCCGCTTGTACCTGCCAAAAAAAAAAAAAAAACAATATGTCAAGATGTTTTTAGTGAAGCACTGATAGGACTTGAATGTTCTCTCTGATATAATATTAGTAATTAAGTAAAATAGTGAAGTAAGTAAAATGTGCAGAGATTAAAAGATGAATGTACAGTAAGTTAATGCACATAAACTGTTGACTAGTCAGCTTTGCAATTAACCTACATGCTGAACAATGAGTCATTTTCTCTGGAATATTGGCTAATCCAACTAATCAGGGTGAGGTAAACTGAGCTGAATGGAAGAGGCCGAAAAAACAAAGCTTTTTTCAGTGGTTGCTGGCCTCTTTCTCTGTGCAGATCTGTTCCCAAGAAAAATATATGAAATATAGCAAATCTCCATATCAGAGTCACTAACACTTCTATCATGGTTTTCTTCTTCTTCTTCTTCTTCTTCAAAAAATATTATATATATATATATATATATATATATATATATATATATATATATATATATATATATATATATATATATATATTAATTCTGATCTTTTCTACATCAGGGGTCACCAGCCTTTTTAAGACTGAGGGCTACTTCATGGGCACTGAGTCATAGGACGGGCAACCAATACTGATCTACAGTATGAACTGGAGGAGTCAGCATTCCCTAAACTTCTTCCTTCCATAGATGCTCATTAAGATTTAGGTCAGGGCTCATAGAAGGGGACTTCAGAATAGTCCAATATTTTCCTCTAAGCCATTTCTGAGTGTTTTGGGTCATTGTCATGGTGAAGACTTTCCATCACTGGACAGCACATTTTGCTCTAGAATCCCTTGATAGTCTTGAGATTCAATTCTACCCTTCAGAGATTCAAAAACCCTGTACCAGATGAAGCAAAGCTGCCCCAGAACATAACAGGGCGTCCTCCATTTTTCATAGTACACATTATTTTCAGTCTTTTCTAAAGAAACCAGTATTTTGGTCCAGGTCTGTTTTAAGAGTTCCTGTTATTTTTAAATTATTCTGTTTCAACATGGTTGACCTTCATTTGTTCATTTTCATAGAATTTTTGTTTATTATTACTTTGATCAGATCGAAGTTATTTCTGGGACCATTTTAGTTTTTCTTTCATTAATAGAGGGATGCAAACTATTTTGTCCATGTGTGCATATTAAATTTGAAAGTATTATAACCAGACACATTTAAACAGAAAAACAACTTTTTATACTGTATCAAACATGACCTTAAATTATGCAACATCTAATGAGGATAAAATCAGACACATCTTCAAATTAATTCCCTCTTAAAATCTCTAAAATTACACACAGGTGTATGAAAACAGATGATCAATACCAAGCATTATCAATACTGAACACATTGTGATGGATATTTGTCTTGTTTCAACCTCAGACATTTGGTTTATTCCTGATTGTTGAGATCTGAGTTCACACTATAGTGAGATTTCTTAAAAGAGAACATTGTTGAAATTAGAGAGACTGGTAAGTGATTCAAAGTGGTATCAAAATATAATTGTTTGGACACCAGAAGACATGTTTCGCTTAAACAAAGCACACCAACTATCAGACACCGTAACTTATGCAACATCTAATGTGCAATTACCATTTAATACCCAGTGCAATAACCTGTTTTTATAGCTGAAACCCAGTGCAACAGTTATATATTTATATGTATTAGGGGTGGAACGGTTCACAAAATCCACGGTTCGGTTTGGTTCACGGTTTCGTTCTCACGGTTTTCTGTTCAGTTCGATATATGTTTATTGTTACAACGAAAAATAAAAAAATTAATAAAAATTATAAAAATTTATGAAAAAATAGAAATTTATGAAATTGTAATTATTTTTAATGATATGTGGAAACCATGGATCATTTCCGCATGTTTTGCTGCTTTGAATTTAATCATCTCGCGCATGCCCTCTACGATCCCCAAGGAACTCTGAGCGGAGCGGACGGGAGCCACAGCGGAGGCTGTAGGCTTTGCTTTGTGCTTTGTGTAGTAAGCAAGAAGAAGCGAAGCAGCTTAGCCGGGTGTCACAGGGAAAAAAATCAGTTGTTGGGTGGGACTGGCGAGTGGGAAAGAACAGAAGTTGGAAGACGCGCCAGCAGCACTTTAAAGGTCTGCTGTATGGGACCGCTTTGCATTTAGAGTGACCTACGATGACGGCGGAAAGAAAGTTGTGGATAAAAGTGCAACAGTGTGCAAGCATTGTGCAACACGTTTTGTTTATGCTAACAGCAACATGACCAACATGTCATGCTAACCCCGAAATCCCTCATACTCCGTCAGCAACCCCCGCTGCGCTCCAGACCGGCTGCTCAAAGAAAAGCCTACAGCCCCCACTGTGGCTTCGTCCGCTCCCCTCTGAGTCCCTTGGAGATGGTAGAGAGCATGCGCGAGATGATTAAATTCAAAGCAGCAAAATATACGGAAATGATTCAGGGTTTCCGCGGATCATTTAAAATAATTACAATCCATTATTTTTGGGGGATTTTTTCATTAATTTCATTAATTTTTATGGGATTTCAGTGTAACAATGAACATATACCGAATCGAACCGAACCGAAAACCGTGACCACGAAACCGTGAATTGAACCGAACCGTGGATTTTGTGAACCGTTCCACCCCTAATATATATATATATATATATATATATATATATATATATATATATACACTCTATATTCAGCCATGCACCTTTTCTTCCTTTGGCACCTTCTTCTTCTTTTTGAATATTTCAGCCGATGTAACAAGTAAATTTCTCCAACGTGAGATCAATAAAGTCAATCAATCAATCTGGTAGAATTACCCCAGGTGTTAACTGTTGCAGTGTAATTATCAAGGTTTGCTTTTCTGTTGCAGTGGCTATTTAGTTTAACATTTGAAAATTCACCATAATTTCTACCTAATAACAGAGGGTGATGGAGAAAAAATGTGAGACCATCTTCAAAATAAAAACAACTGAAAACTGAATCTCATAGAGATGCTGTATTGTGATATAATTAACACAAGGAACAGTAGTAAGAAGTACATAGACCTAAAGTAAGGACAGGGACAAACTTCCTTAGACCACTGCTAAAGAATGATAGAGGGCTGCAGTGTGTAGTACTGAACATATCGCCATCAATGGTGATAACCATAACTGCTGTCTGGTAGGGTGTCGTAACCTTTTCCAGAGAATTTGTGTCAATACCTCTTTAGGTAAAATAACATTTTGTTGGATGTGTGAGTGCAATTACATAATGTTTTCTTTCGGCAAGATAAAGCACACATATGAAAATATTTTCAATTAAGAACTAAGCAATTTAATGGGGTGTTTTTCATGAGGTTTCATGTGAGTATCAGATTTCATTCAAAACTAGATCTCACCTAAGTTTCACTGATGTGATCTTGCCCTACATGCATACCTGTCATGGTTCAGGGATCTGTGTGAGTCTGTGTTTTTAGTCTGTTTTTTTCCCCCCAGACTTCCATGAAGCTGCAGGTTCCCTGTAAGGGCGGCGCTGAGTGGTGTGTTCCCACACACCTGCTTCCTATTACCAATCTGCTGGAGCTTAACAGAAAGAGGATGCAGGTCAATGAATGCTTGAGTGATAACCAGAGTTGTACCTCTAGCACTAGATCCTTCTACTTTTCCCCTTCTGCAATCGTTTAGGCAGGAATATATTGTTTGCATACAACTCTACGAGCTCTGATCCATTTTTATCTCAAGTATAGCTGAAATTCCACCCGCATACACAAGCTGGGCAGTAAGCATAAAGATACAGTTGCTTCTTTAACAAGCCCTGTTTAACCTTGTTTCTGTACTCCTGAGCTCCTACCATGAGTAGAAACACTATTTATTAAAATATTGTACTTATTGTGAATGTGCTAGTTGGCTGTGCTTGCTATATATGCCTAACATCTGTACAATTTTTTAAGATTTTAAATGTTATTTTTCCCAAAGTAGATGTACTTTGCATTATCACCTTGTCTCTCTTCCTCTTACACTCATGATATTTCCGTCACCCAAGATAGACCAGGGTGCCACTTCAGTCGGAGCTACTCGGACACAGTTGCAGAAATTCGATCTGATGTGTCTCTGACTTTAAGCTCCTGCTAACCCGTTTTAAAGTAACCTCCTGAACCCTATCCTATAGAATAGTCTCTGAATTCTCTGTGACATAAACCCTCCAGATCATCCACCTCAAGCAACCTGTCTGCCCTCCAACACTCAGCACTGAAACACTAGAGATGTAACAATAAATCGATCTATATTGATTCATTGATTGAATGATTAATCATCCAGTTACATTGATGCACACATGAAGATATCAATCCACATCAACACCTGAAGGACGTCTTAGCTTATTGTGTCAGTGTAAACAGCTGGTCTATTTTTAGCATTCTTTTGTTAAGAAGAAAGCAGTTTTTAATTCATATTCCAGATTTGTAAGTTCATACATTATACTATATATATTATCAAAGCATCACATTGATTGAGGATTTCTGAAGCAAAGTGGATCAAAATCGTACTGTGAGAGACTTTTTGATATCTATAAATATTGTATTGTAATCCAAGCAAATCAATATAACACCATAAAACTGGTGCTTTACACCCCTACAGCATACCACTCAGACTGCTGCATCTCTCCCTGTTAACAACCACAGCAACACCTTTTTTTGATCAAAGCCTTCCAGTCCAGCAGCTTATTCAATTTAATTACATTCCCCCTTTCCTCCAAAGTAATACACTGTCCCAAGGTTCAAGACTACCTCCAGAATCTTGTCATTTACAGTCTGGGTTCTAAATAATCACAATTTTTTTATGGCCATCTACTGAGAATTATTTGCATGTCGGTTTAAAAACTGCCTGAAGCCATGACAGATTTGATACAAACTTGTTATTCTACACATGTCTCTATGTGTCTTTAGCATAAACTGTTGGTCTGAAAACTGTGGCAAAAAATTACATTATGAATGTTTAGTTAATTTACAAACTTTTTTCACTTATTAGTCCTTTCGGACAGGTGTTTTCTGTTCTCAGGCTTGAACAGTCACCTCTTGACAAGAAATAACCTCTATTGTTTTTCCTGACAAACGTGCTGAAAGACCTACATGTTTCTGTGAGACTGAATAATATTCTCTGGTCCAAATATGTTTGATTGGTGCTATCAATTTTTTTTTTATAATTTTTTTTTTTATATCTGACTAAGAACTGTTTCTAATTGGTTTCTATTTTTGAAGATCAATGCCTTCATCTGCAATATCATTAATGACATTTTATTTTCGTGCTCTGGAAGTTGTTGGATTTTTTTGCTTAGTTTTTTTTTACATTCATGCTTTGTATAAAGTTCTTCAATTTACACTGACATTTAATTTTCCTTTAACTAGAAAGTTTCTAATTTTTACTTAAATATTCATGTTTATTAATAGCTGGAGTGTTTGTCCCTTCTGATGGGGTTTTTAATCTCCTGCAGTGTATACAGCTTTTTTGCATTCTGTCTTGTGTATACCTTGTAACTTTCTTCCGTAAACTTGTTTTTATCATATTTTTATTTCCCCTCTAATGAGACAAGAACATTCTATTCTATTCTATTCTATTCTATTCTATTCTATTCTATTCTATTCTATTCTATTCTATTCTATTCTGGTTCTGTCGGATGTTTCTTCCTGTAAAAAGGGAGTTTTCCTCTCCTGTCGCTACAAACATGCTTGCTGAAGTGTCAGTGAGTCGATGAGATCAGCAGGTTTTCTTTTAACCAACCTGACTGTATGATCTGGTTGAAATGTAAAGTGCCTTAAGATGACATATGTTGTGAATTGGTGCAATATAAATAAATTGAAATAAATAAATTATTATAAATTATTATTCTCTTCTATTCTACTTATTTTAAGTGCAGCAATAATGTATCTTACTAGGGCTGTCCATTAAGTGAATAATTTAAACCCAAAGCTGGTAAACTCAAACCCTTATATCCCACTGCAGTCCAAATTAGACATATGCTGCTGAAAGTCAAATCAATAAATGTTGTACTCTGTAGCAATATTGCTTTCAATTTATGATTTTTGAGGGGGAAATTACTTCAGTATTATTTTGTTGTTGGATTTTTCATGATATAGTATTTGGCCCATTAGACGAAGTTTTCTGATACGATTTTTATATCATACACTGTAAAAGATGAATGAGGAAAGATAAACATATGAGATTCAATAAATATTGCTCTCTTGTCTACAGAAACAAAACAGACACAGCCCTTAGGGACACATTTACACAGCTATCTGATCCACCCCAATGTTAGAAAGCATGCAGAGCAGTAATTTGATCACTTTTAGATTACTTTGATATTTTCAATGTCTGATGAGGAAACGTTTCCATCACCACAAGCTGACCTTTGCAGAAAAAGAGCCTGGAGCCAAACACGACCCTGCAGTTTAGCCTGACTGTCACTGGTGCTATGTGTTGTGTTTAGCATTGATTAGGGGATATATGTGTTCAGTTTCATCAGGAAAGATGACCACTATTCAGGCGACTTTAGATTGCTGGAAGCAATTAGACACCAACAGCTAAAAATTAACCAAGAGTGTTGCAATTAGCCCTATAGCTTTTAACTGTGATGACTTCAATTTCTAACAATAATTAACAACATCTTACTTTCAATTGCTTATTTTATCAGTTTGTTGTCATAACCTCATACTGTTCTAGGTCCATCATTAAGGTCTGGGTCCATATCATCATTTTATGATATTACATACAATACTAAATTTTAGATATGCAAATGTATCCAAACCCTTTATTTGGATTCTCCTAAATAAAATCCAGTTTAATCAATTTCTCTCAGAAATCCCTAAACAGGTTGTTACAGTAAACAGAGTATGTAGGAATGTACTTTAATTTAATTATAATATTCTCTGAAGGCCTAAGAAGTTAAGAACATTAGTGAAAAAAAAACACCATAATGAAAACCTAGACACAGAGCAGACAGGTCAGGGATGTAGAAATGTTTAAAGTAGGATTTGGTGTAATAAAAACATTCAAAACTGTAAATCTACTTTGACATTCATGTTCAAATTGAACACACCACCGTTAGCATACAAAGTGTTGGTAAGGTATCTTTTGTTTAGCAGGGGCTGGGAAACCACAAAAAAGTGATGGAATGATGGATGGATCTAAAATTGGAGACGACTAAAAGAAAACCAGTTTGAGTGTGACAAATACCTGACCATGTAAAGGACAGGCTCAACAAGGAGAGCAGTAATCGGGAAAAAAGATGCCTCAAAGTAGAGCTGCAGAGATTTAAGCTAAGGTGGCAACATGTTGACAGGGCAACACTTTGAAATCCTTGTGGAAGAAAGAAAAGAAGAAAGAGTTTTTTGAAAGAAAGTCTATAGAAGATCTATTTGTACAGCGGAAATGTATAAATGTTAATTGAACTGAAGAGTTAAATCAACACTTTTAAAATGTCTGTATTGCTCAACGCTAGATCTAGTTGAAGTAACACCTTTAAGAGTTTAAAACAGTTAACAATGAAATAAAGTTGGAAACAACACTTCATTGTTGTCATTTAACAGTCAGGATGGAATTTATCTAACACCATGGTCCAAAGAAAATCCTTCATGATGATGAGCTACATCATAGCCACAACTGCCCTGGGGCAGACAGAAGAGAGGGTACAGTACACAGACCCCTATGGGCCCCCAATGGGCCCTCATCATCAGTGGACAATGCAGTTGAAGTGTCTTTCCCAAAGATGCAACAGGTGAGATTGGATCATCTCCAGATGCAGGATGAACTTTTGCATTCTATGCCACAATTGGATTAAATTTTTGGGATTAACAGCTACTCTTTACTCTAACTTAGTAGAATAAGACAAATTAAACAACTGTTGAATAAACACTGTACTATAAAAATACATCACCAACACAGCAAATTATTGTCTTGGAGGAGAATCAATAATGATATGGTAGAAAATCAACTTCCTGGGCTATATAGCAGAGCATTAACAATGCACATGCCTGGAATGACATCATCCACAGTGGTGGCAGCATCAAAATTTAGGGATAATTTGGTCAAAAAAAACATGGAGGCTGATCAGGTGTATTGGGAAGATCACTGACTTAAATGAAGGCAACAGAAATAGTGATTGGTTCCTGCATACAAATTGGGGGAGATTAATCTTCTTCTTGGACAGTAACCAAACAGACATCCAAAGCTGTGATTTCCATATATTAGAACAAAATCCATGGGAAAGCTTAAAAAAGTATAGGCTATCCGTAGTGGCTCTCTATTATTACAGAAACTCATTGCATTCACTCAAGAAAAAGAAAAGGAACCCTTTATTTAATAATTACAATGACAAGATCTCATCATTTTAAAAGCAGGAGAAGCATCCCTTACTGGTTTATTACTCTGGAAAGAAGAGAAAATCTTCCAGCAGGTCAAAGTGGGCTTTTTGTCTAACTTAGGATACCTGCACAATGATGACATATATTATTGATGTCATTCATCTTAAGTAAACTCTTTATCACATGTTCTTGTACCTAGAAGGAAATAACAGCCTATCACATTTGACTGGAGGCTTTTTTCCGTTCTTGACTTCTGTCATAATTACGATTTCTTTTCTTATGAGATCCTGATCTTGTAATTATATATTTTTTTATGATATTGATTTCTTTTCTCACAAATATGAGATTAGGACCTCGTGTTTATGAGACCTATTTTTTCCTGTCTTAGTCAATGCTATGTCCTTCCGTACTCCAAGCAATATTATTGAGCTTTTTTTAGCAAAGAAAAGTGAAAAAATATGATCTAGATCTGCAAAGCTTGCGAATACATAAAAATGAGTAGAAAATGCTGCAAGAGCTTTTTTTTTTTTTTTTTACAAACTATTAATATAGAGGGATTAAACAAATTAATTCATGTTTTTTTTTTTTTCTAGTTCTATGAAACAATGAATTTCCTTTTCCATCCATTGCACTGCTATATACTACTTGCTCTTATTTTTCTTACAAAACAACAACAACAAAAACACTATACACCAGGGGTTTGATTCTTCCCTCAAAAGGATATTATTAGGCCATTAAGGAAGCTCTTAAACTTTAGTTTGGATAGATCTTGAACGTGGAGCTAAACATAGCAATCTGAGGTGAAAAATGATCCCTGCCTGCATCGATTCTCAGGAAGAAAGCAGGAGTAGCTGTGACCTCTGCTCTGCTCATCACCACCACCTTCCCACATGGATCAGACCTAAACCTGTCCCGTCCTTCCCGTGCGCTTTCATGGAGATCCTACATTACCTGGTTGGGATCTTGACCCTGAGATAGCGGTCAATCGCGATGGCCAACAGAGCCAGGATTGAACTTTGCGTCAGGACGAGCATGATGCACGTTGAAAGCAGGCAGCTGTAAAAGTGAGTCTCAAGTCCGATGCTGACCGTGATGGCCAGGGGGATGACGAGCGCTCCCACTGCAATATCCGCCACAGCCAAGGAGACGACGAAGCAAAACGTGGTGTCTCGGAGGGACTTATTAATTTTCACCGCCCAAACCACCATCACATTCCCAATCACAGAGGCGACAGCTATCAGCACCTCCATGCATATATAGAGCCACGAGACTCCGTCAGCCATTTCTGCAGATCTCTCTGGTCACAATAATTTAAAACCTTTGTTTTCTTCTCTTGGTTTCAAATGTGTTTTTCAAATGTAATGTACGTCCATCAGTGTCATTGCGCCCATATTTCGTACTGTGGATAGCAGATGTATGTCATCAGCGAAAAATCCAACTGTTTAAAATAAGGAAAGACGCGCCAGAGGATGCGGAGGGTTCCTCTGGAGCAGGTGCTTTTGTCCAGCGGCACTAGTGGGTCGCTCCCGCACTGTTTCCTGCGTCTCCCCCACTTGCTTGGATACTCTTGCTTTGCCTGAGCTCAGCATCCTGTCCACTTGCTTCGGTTTCCTCAAGAAGTGCTTGGTGTTTATCAGCCTACGTCTTTTCTTTTGACAGAGCACGTTTTAAAAAGCGTCGCTGGTGCGTCTTTTGGCAGGAAAAAGCGCACAGATGCAGTCCATGCGCAGACGGCTGCGCGCTCACTGTCCCGCGTCTCTCTCACTCCCCCTCTCTCTCCCTCTCCTTGCTCTGCTTTTGATTTTTGTTTCTTTCAGTAAGGAGTTAACGACAGTTCCAGAAATTCTGAACCTGCTTAACTGGCTTCTTTCCTTTCGTGGAAGGTTGTGATTTCTCAATTTAAGATGAATTCCCTATATACTTAATAATTCCTGAAAAGTGTAGACACACATCAGTCTAAAGCTCCACACATTATAATTTAAGAATTTAGAATAATTTTGTTGGTATTTTTACTGAGTCCTCAAAACTTTGTAGAAAAACTTAATAGTTTTGAGTAAAAAAATAAAAAATAATAAAAAATAAAAAATAAAAAAAAAAACATACAGTAAACTCGTTCTGGCATGGATATGTCATCTCTGTGGTAGGTACAGTGGTGTAAAAAGTACACACATTTGTTACTTAAGTAGAAGTATAGATACTGCAGTTTAAAAAACACTCTGGTAAACGTTGACCTGTTTACTCAAGTAAAAGTGTAAAAGTATGTGCTCCAAAAACTAATTCAAGTATAAAGTAACCTTAAAAAAAAACAGCGAGATGCCACTATCTGAATTGAAAGCTCAATTTTTCGACTATTTCGAAAAATTCTTGGAGATAGGGCCAAGGATGAGAGCTGTCTTGTTGGTCTCCGTCTCCCGATACGCTCTCGCCTGTTTTGACCTTTCAGACATTTCAACATCTTGTTCTGAATCCTTCATTGTAGCATGGCATAGACAATTCACGTTTGCAGTTTGAAGAACATCTGCTTGCTTCTGATGATTTCCTTTAGCTAACCAATGAGGGTTTGCATTATATGACTCATCCAATTACACTAGTTTTCACTAGATGTGGATGGCGCCAATGAGCTGCATTGGATGGCACACATGATGTGAAATAAATATTTATGAACATTAAACCGAAGCCAAGAGTAACGAGTAACGTTTGTCTTAAAAATGTAAGGAATAGAAAGTACAGATACTTGTGTGAAAATGTAATGAGTAGAAGTCAGAAGTAAGAAGAAAAATAAATAATGGAGTAAAGTTAGGATACCTAAAAAGTGTACTTAAGTACAGTAACGAAGTATTTGTAGTTTGTTACTTTACACCTCTGGGTATGTGTTGAACATTGGACATGGTGTTGACATTTGTTGGCACTAGAGATGTGTTATAAATTCTTAAAAAGGATGATTTAATCTTTTCAAATAGTATGAATAAATTATTTTATCCAATACTCAATATGGCTTCCTGTATTTAGTTGTTTTTACCAGAATACCACCGTAGGTATTTTATCAAGTTCTCTTTAAATCCTTATTTGCTTTCATAATTATGACCTAAACCATTAAATAAATCTCCAAAGTGAGGGTGGAGATAAACAATATAAGACAGAGCAAGAAACATTACAAAAGGAACTGACAGCTGACTGAATGAGTTGAGAAGGATATAAATAGATGAAAAGAATTACTGATGAGCTGTACTGTATTTGTGGGTGAGGACCAGCGACAAACTTTATGTAACAAAACAATGAAGATTTTAAGACTGAACAAGGAAAAATAGCAGCCACAGCTGAACCAGAAAGAAAAAAAACAACAAAAAAGACCTAAATACAAACAAAACAATATATAGATGTATAAGGTAAAGGTATAAGGTATGTATAAGGTATAAGATGCTAAATTCAAGCCATGTCCAACAGATGCCTCCATTGATCCATTTTATGAGTCTGAAATACAGGCATACAATACATATTTTTAAACAAATAAGTTCATGATTCCTCACTTATTAAAAAATCCTGCTGTTTTTCAAGGGTGTACAGGCCCGCAGCATCACACATTACCACTGCATTTACCAGATGGGGATTTTCTCCCCCCCCTCCCGAAAATGCCAGTCTAATCATGGCAAGATATTTACGCTGTTTTAGATAAAAAGATAACTATTTCTAAGGAGCTGCCTTATATCATGACTGTATGCAGCATATAATTATTTTTAAGTGATACAAATTTAAGCATACAGACTGGAGTCAAAGATTTCAGAGAACTTCTCTGGAAACGTGAGTCAGCAACCAGATCCTCTTCTCCAAGTTCACGAATCAAATTTCCCACTGAGCCTGAACTAATCGCTGTGTCTTCCCCTCACTTTTCAGTTCCGGTTGAGCAGTGTTCAGAGCAACACTTCTCTCTGCATTACCTCTTCAATAAAACCTGTTCAACCTTTTTTCCTGGTCTCCCTGATTGGTCTTCAACATTCAGGTCTGAACTTTAGTAAAATCATGACATTAACAGCATTTTATGTTAATAATTTGTGTCTTTTTCAATATTAAGGCTACAATAAGGTTTTTGACATTATCACCCTGGGCTAAATCCACCTCTGGGTCGTTTGTTGCTGAAAATCTCTATCTACATCTCAGCTGACAAAGACATGCAATTCCAGTTCTGCTACAGTTAACTATAATTTTTATGTTTGCATTTGCATTGAAAAAAGAATAACAAAACCTTTTCCTTATATCTTCAAGAGAATCTGTTGGCATGTAGACAAAGTCTGATAAATGTGAGAGAGACTCAATGACCCTCCATGCTGCCTTTGTTGCAGCTACAGTATCTTTATCATCCTACTTGTTGCATAATCTCAATTAAGAAATGAATAAATTGGGTCACCAAACCAAAAGTTTGTAATTGCTAATTAGAAGTAGATTGACCTAACAAGTAAATACATTAAACGAGAATATAATTATGTTGCATTTAGCTACATTAGGGAAGCAATAGTCATGCTGGCATGAACTGATTTGGTTAATTTATGGCATTTCTCAATCACCTCTTGAAAAAAAAATCAAATGTTGATTTTTCTCTCTATTTTAGTTTCTTGTTAGAATATGGTGCTGCAATGAAAGATGGAATTATTTTAGAGCTTTGTACATGTTTGCAGGGGAGCAGCACAAAATACAGACAGTTCTGTACGCCAAGGCTGCAAACCTTTATCTCTTTAAGAGAATAATGAAACAAACAAGGGCAGTACTGGGATCTGGTCCAGTATCTTATCTCGATGTTTTAGGTTCAAAGTCAGAGATGTGTGTGGGCTAAAGCAGGAATGATCACACTGTATAAGCTGAATATGTGGGTGTCACAGTGAACTTTGCTCACTCAAATGTTTTATGGAAGATAGAATACAGCATTTACGCTTGACAAGTTAATTATTGCAGAAAAAGATAGGGTAACAGTAAGGTGAACATTTATGTATATTGAGAGATTATTAGGGCAGGAAGTCCACTGAAAACACTGGAGCTGAGTAGAAGTGGTCAGCATGAGTTAGTTATAGAGGTCAGCCAATAAAGAGGGTAGCAGCCATATGGTCCTGCTGCACAAACTCTTACTCACCTGGGAGATCTTAATAAGCAGGATCCAAGCCATAGATGGAAAAATCAATCATTACAGAGCATGTTGTAAACTAACACATCGGTACTGCTGACAATTACATACAATAAATTCAACCCTTGCAAGTATCTTAGTTTAAATCACGGCACAGTCTGAACAAATGTTGTTATATCATTGTGAGCCAGTGCTGGGCTCACATGTATAACTTTGTTCTCAGACATTTAAACATATTTTTTCTGGGTGTTGTAAGCAAAAATTGAGAACATTAGTACAGCTTTGAAATAAAGTATTTTAGACATCCCTACAGATGCTTAATTTAGTTCAATGTAACCCTGAAATATTTCATACCACTTATAGATTAATTTTACATCAATTTTAATTCAATCAATTCAATTCAAATTATAATAAGTCACATGATGACTAAAGGACACTATTTCCTTGATATAGACATTATTTGGTGAAGTGCCCCAAATTATTTAGGTTGAGAGATCTCCTTGCCATCACCTTAATCTACTGTACCCTCCACAGTTTTTGTATAGAATTTAACTTTGAAGCTGGACAATTCCATAAGGTCAAAATCAGTTTCAGTCAGAAACAAATTAAAGAATTACTTTAAATCTTTACCTGACAGAGGTATGAATAGTTCTTGGCTTAACCGTTTACCTCTCCTATAATGGAGGTTTTTGAGGGATTTATTTTTACAAACACTCATATGACAAGACCGGCTCAGTGACACTAACTTCAATGCCCGCAGAATGTGAACATCAAGAAATGCTTCAGTAAACATTTGTCAGATTTTTCTACTTGGGGTTGAACAACCAGTGAGGTGAAGCGTGCTACAGCTGCGTGAGCCAGATTCTGCACTTCAAGTACAATGCAATAGAAGAAATTGACTTCATAGCTTCATTTGGATCCAGACACAAAATGCTGTCTGCATGTAGATTGCTTCCCTCTCAAAATATTTGTTTGATACACATTCATTATATCTATCTTTTTGGTTTTGATATATTTGTTGATTATAAGTCTGTGACTAAACGATCTAAATTATTTCACCCCGTCCTTCAAATGAATATGCACCATCTCCTATTCAAGGATGTTTGAAATGATTATCTTGTTGTAGAAACCACTCTATTTTTTTTAATAAATTCACTGATGAGGTGTCTTTCAAGTTCTGAGATGTAAAGATAATAATTTCTTGCCCTGTCAAACAGGCACCCTTTTTGTAAGCTGGAATAAAGATTTTGAAAAATTATTTATATCTTTTAAGAGTGTTCTGCATTGAAACCATTTTTGCTGGTAACTACATGTTCTTCATGCCACTTGCTACTGTACCATTTGAGCCCGCAGAATAATGGATTGACCTCATTCCTGAAAGCTTAAATGTTTTTTGGGATAAATCCTTCAGCTTTTTCTAAAGGATTTTTGTTTATTGAGACAAACACTTTTGTCAGTGCAATACCTTTATTTTAGGCTATAGAAACCATTTAACTCTGAAGAACTTTACAGACAGTGATGTGTTCTTAAGATACAGTAATTACTTCTTTATTGTCATGTTTTAGTGTTTAGTTTCAGTGAGACTAAATGGCGGCAGGGGCAGGTAACAGTTGGCAGAGTGAAGTGCAAAATCCAC